TGGCAGTAACTGTTCAAGAAATGGTAGCAGCTATCATTAACTTCCCAATCCTTTGGTGTATAGGTCTTCCCATCACCTGGAATCTCACACTGAACCTCCCAGTGCCTGTTTCGCTATCTCTTTGGTCCTTAAAGCAACTTCGAGAGGGAGGGAGGGCAAATAACAGGGGCACCATTTTACAGAGAACACTGAACTCATAGGAGAGCCTTTTCCAAGACCACACAGTTAGTGGCCAAGCTTGGGATCAAAATCCAGATGTCCTCACTCCAGTGAGCACTCCTGTGCTCTTTCTTTCTCCTGTGTCGGGGTCCAGGATGCTCCTGTCTGGTTGCCTCTCAGATCGGCTGGACCAGTGAAGCACTAAGATGGATGGAAGAAGCTAGGGTTGGTGGGCTGCTGTGGGAGGGACAGTGAGCGCTGGGGATGCTTCAGTCCAGATGTGGGAGGCTGAGGTTACTGCTGGTTGTTCACCCCCTGCCCCGCTCCCAGTTTCCTGCTCACAGGCTCTTCCTGTTTTGCTGTGAACTCCAGTTCCCATGGGCCCCACATTAAAGGATAGAAGGACAGAAGGCCAGGGCAGGCAGCCAGGAGGATGGAAACAGATGAACGGGCACCAGGGAAGAGAGGAACGGGGACAGAGCAGACAGAGGGTGTGGCAGAACAGAATGGGAGAAGGCCAGGGAAAGCAGAAACAGAAAGGGAGCTTGGTGAAAGATGGGAGGAAGCACAGGGTGGGGCGGGGGAACAGGCGGAGGGGTGGGGGGGGGGGGGAGCAGAGGCTTGAGAAGACAGCAGGCTGGGTGGTGTTGCAAAATCTGCCCATGTATTCACTTTCACATTTAAGAAAAGCCCCTCTGACACCCCCCATCTCAAAGTTCTGCCTCCAGCTTTAGCTCTTGTTCCCCCTTATCACAAGGTCATCCCTTCATGAGGCCACCACCCTTGTCTGAACATCTCTGAGTCATGAGCACAAGGCTCTCCATTCCTCTTGCACATCTTCCTCTCCAGATTTTCACAAGGCCCCAGCTGTCCTGGAAAAGCAGACACCAGGGACTCCAACCCCTGGGAAAGTAGAACTGTTCTGTCCCACCACCCACATCATCCACCCAGTTCCCTCCTCTGTCTTTCCCCACCCCAGGAGCTTCAGCCTGGGATAGTCAGATATGTCACTGAAACACCTGGATACAAGGAACCTGGGGTGTAACATTGGACTGGGGCTTGGTGACCTACCTTCAGGGAGTTGGAAAAGGCCTCTCTCATCTACTCCTGATCCTCAGCTCCCTCTTCTGACACCCCAGTCTCTCTGCAGTCCAGGACCTGAGACCACACACAAGCCCCATCTGGAGTTCTTTTGACCCAGGCTAGCGCCAGCTGCTGAGCAAGCAGATCGGGGCGCCATCTCCTCCAAGCCAGGGAGTCAGCTCCTTTATCTCAAGTAGAAAAGGAGGAAGCATTACTATTGCTTTACTGCCAGAGCTACCCCTCCAGGTTACAGGGGTTCAGGAGCCTCCCCCCATGAGGAGGGGAAGGGAGAGGAAAATGGGAAAAGACCAAAACCTGTAGGCACTATTGCCCCAGAGTTTCTGCAGACCAACCACTGGGACTTCTCCCCCAAACCAGAGCAAGTAGTCAGGTGATCAGCAGCTGGGGTCGCATGTCTCACTTTGCCAGACCCACGCCCACAGCATAGTCCCACTAGTCCACAGGTATTAGGGGTAGAGCCTCCCAGTGCCATGTCTCCTTCCCAGCCTCCGGTTTCTTTGGCTCCTAGAGAATCCTAGGACCTTTGGGGATTTTCCAAGTCACATCTGTGACCCCTAGAACCTCCAGAGGCTTTTCCTTGCAGCAAGGGGGAAACTTGAAGCAAAAACAGAGGAGCATTCACTAGTCCACAGTCATATGTACTACTTGGTAATTCCCCTGAAAGTACTCAAATTCCAATGAAGCAGGCCACAAGGTACAGTTTGGAGGACCCGGCTAAGGAAACTGATTTTTGCTCCCTCCTTCATCATTCTGGATGCAGAGTGTGGGGGTCATCTTGCAGGGCACTCAAACAACTTCTGCCCAACCTCCCAATCGCAAGATAGAGAAGAACCCAGGAATTTCTGCTTCCCAAACTTATGTGTTCAGAGATAATATAGAAGGCAGAAAGGAGACAAGTAACATTTACTACTACATATCTTTATCTCTACATGTATTATTTTATTTATCATCATATATAACCCAAAGAAACAGTTACTAGCCAAGTAAGTAACTATTAAATTTGAATACAGGTATAGCTGACTCAAAAGCTCAAACTCAAAATCAAACAAACACACACCTCACTCCATTACACAAAACGGCCTCCCCAGATCGATGAAATTGTTAACTCACCTGGATTTAGGTTTGTTTCTGACAACACAGTGGAACGGTTTTCAAACCTGGCCTCATTTTCATAGATTCTGATTTATTTGATCAGAGATAGGCCCATGTATCCATCTGTCAATCCATCTATACACCTAGTTTTTTGCATCTGTATTTAGGAACAAAGGTATGGAGTCTACAGAATCATCTGGTAGAAAATATGCAGGAGCTCGGGGTCAAGATACCAGGGCTCACAGGACGCCAGGGTGGCTCAGTCGGTTAAGCGTCTCTTGATTTCAGCTTGGGTCATGATCTCACGGTTCGTCAGTTCAAGCCTGGCGCCGGGCTCTATGCTGATGGTGTGGAGCCTGCTTGAATTCTCTCTCCCTCTCTACCCCACGTGTGTTCTCACTCTCTCTCTCAAAATAAAACAAAAACACAAAAAACCAGGGCTCAGCTCTTGGTTCTACCATGTACTTGTGCTATAATCTTCACCCTTCCTGGATTTGCTTCTCACTACAGAAATGGAACTATCAATCCCTCCTACATCAGATACTTGCAGACACAAAGGATACAGGCATACTTGAGAAAGTGGGAACAAAAGCAAAAGTTGAATTTGCTCTACTAGCCAAAATTTAGTGAGCCCGAGATTTACATTCTTTTTTTTTTTTTCCTCCAAGATTTACAATCTGAAATCACAAAGGCCTGGGTACGTTGCAAGGCTCTATCCTTGCAAGAGTAACAGGCATTTAGCCATGCTCCATTCAATCCAACCAATGGGAAAAGGTTTTGTTAGAAATCTCTTTATTGAAGGCATTTGGGGGCCACCAAATACAGCTTAGCAACCTAGTTTGAGTAGCCTGTGAGAAATAGCCCATTATAAAGACTATTTGGGAATCAGAAAACTTGAGTTTTAATCCCTTCTCCTAAACTCTGTGACCTTGGACAAATCACTTCCTCTCTCTGGGTTTGTTTTCTTATCCTTTTAAAGTAAGGGGATTAGGCTGGATCAGGGATTCAGAGATGTTGAATTAAGAAAACTACTGACTGTCTTCTTGAACCTCTTGGGATTATATGCAAAATTCCCTTTGTGTGTGTGGACATTTTTCTGAAGACAGGGGACTAAATTTTCATCTGATTCATAAAGGTGCTTGTGACTAAATAAGGTTAAGAACGATTTGACTACACATCCTTCAGCTCTCAATTTCTATTCACTCTTCCATAACAATTTTGAAAGGTATATACAAATAATTGGATCTGGAGTCATGGGGCAAAATAATGATCCTTCTTTCTCCCATACAAATTTTTTTAAACATTTATTTATTTATGAGAGACAAGAGTCAGAGCACGAGCAGGGGAAGGACAGAGAAAGACACGCACAGAATCTCAAGCAGGCTCTAGGCTCAAATCTACAAACCATGAGATCATGACCTGATCTGAAGTCGGACGCTTAACCCACTGAGCCACGCAGATGCTCCAAGATTGATTTTCAATGTTTCTTTACTTTTGAGAGAGGGAGAAAGACCATGAGCAGGGGAAGGGCAGAGAGAGAGCGAGGCAGAGAATCCCAAACAGGCTCCGCACTGTCAGCAGATATGGAGCTCAAGCTCACCAACCATGACATCACCGCGTGAGTGGAAATCAAGAGTCAGGCCCTTAACCAACTGAGCCGCCCAGGCACTTCTCCCATATAGTTGTGATCAGGTTTTATTTCTCCAGCCATCTGAGGTGATTTGCTTCCAGTAGGCAGAATCAAAGCATCCCAGAGGCCCGTGATCCTGGAGTCATTCCAAGCTAAGTCACAGAGCCCTGAGGCCAAATTGGCTGCGCCTGGATCCTAAAGGCCAATGCCAAGAGGGCCTCTGATTCTGTGGAAACTACACCTACTCCACTTTATGATACGCTCCTTCCCCTTATCCTTCTATATCTCCCCATTCGTTGGTCTGAAATTCCTCGCCTATGGATTCACTGCTTTGATTCTGCAAAGTCTGAACATACTGTGCAACATTCCTTTCGGAGGAGGCATGACATCTTAGAAGACATCCAAAATTCAGAAGTGGACGGGTGGGAGGCCAGGGAAAGGACTGGAAGGGAAAGTGAGGTCTCTTGGAGCTTTGCTCAAAGTGAGGAGCGAGTAGGCTACACTGGGACCAACCTCAAGGACATACGGAGTCCAAAGAACTGTTGACACTCTGTGCCCTGCACCAAACAGGGCCTCTCCCGGGAACAGGGCCAAAGCTCAAATTCCACCAGAAGGCAGGGGCGTGGAGAAGGCGCCCTACACTTCCCAACTCTCTCCCCATTTCTGCAGCGGCTCTGGCTCTGAGCTCAGGCCTGGCGGCACCCCGGCCCGAGGGGGCGCTCGCTCTCCCGTACACTGGCCCACAGCAGGCGCCACCTTGTTATGGGGTCTCCGTGGCGGAGGCCAACCCGAGCTCAGGGCTCTCTTTACCAAGACGAGGTCTTCAGCTCCTTCTGCCACGCGAGGTCGCGCTACACTCCCACGCTCCTCCGCTACGGCCACATCGCGAGCCTCCTACAAGCATTCCCTCCCAGATTCTTCCTTCTCCCACCATCTCTGCCCCTCCTTTAGCAAGATGGCGGCGAAGGCACTTCCGGCGTGTGTCCTTACGGGTGCGTCCGGGCGGCTGCTGGAGGTGCCCCGCAGCGGGGGTTCCCGCCGATTTGCTGCAGAGTCTACAGCGGTGATGGCGGGCCGGCAGTTTACATGGAGAGAGGCAGCTCTTCTCCAGTTCCTTCTTGGTGTGAACCTGATAGTGATGCCACCCACACAGGCCCGGAGTCTGCGCTTCGTCACCTTGGTAATGAGAGACGAGGTGGCTAAGGAGCTCGCCAGAGCTGGAAGGGCACAGGCCGGCTGTTCGAGGGAGGGGCGGGGCTTGTGCTGGGGTCGGGATCTGGAGGAGCGGGAGCCGGTTTAGGATGAGACGACTGGCCTGGAGGGTCGAGGGCCCAGTTCGGAATTGATGTGGAGCCCGAGTTATTTTCGTGCAGGCAGGGTGTAACTAATTCCATATCAGGGCATACGTCGGCCAGTCTGTCTTGGGACAGGGATGCTGTAGAACGGTAAAGAGACTCACCTTTAAACCTTTGGTGATCCCTCCCCCTGTCCCTCCCTCCACCCCCGGCATTGTTTCATTTTTCCTTTCCGTTCCCATCTGTACCTTTGGCTCTCTTATGGTCACCAGTGGCGTTGTTTGGCCAAATTAGAATCTCTGGAACCTGTTCAAACTTACTGACTTCTGAGTTGGGGTCTTTTGCAGTGGTCCGAGTTAAGGCTTCCTAGCAGGAGTAAGGCTTCTCTCCCCAACACGGGGCAGAGATGGATTCTGTGTCCCCCCACCGAGGAACCGTCTGACCTGTAGGCAAACCATTTTCTTTCCTCAGCTGTACCGACACGGAGACCGTTCGCCAGTGAAGACATATCCCAAGGATCCCTATCAGGAAGACGAGTGGCCCCAGGGGTTTGGTCAGCTAACCAAGGTGGGTCAGAAGCCAGCCCCCATTCAGGGTGTGCTGTGTAATGAGTGACCTCAAGAGCAGGCTGCAGAACGTAGGGCTCCACCAAACTCTTCATTTCCCATGTGGGTGCTGACTTTGACCTTAACCTTACATTCCTTTGTGTCCAGGACAGGTGCCATATACAGTCAGCCACTTAATAAATGACTTCTGGTCTAGAAGTTACTAATATCTATAGACACATCAATATTCAATAAAACTACTTTTCTGCAATGAAAAAAAAAAATGACTTCTGGGATCAGATTAACCCACTCCTACTTCCAGCCAGGGTAAATTTGTAAAGCAACAGAGCCTAAGCCCTATGGGACGTGTAAGCTGTCCCTTCCCTCTTAACTCTTGAGTTTGCCCACAGGAGGGGATGCAACAGCACTGGGAGCTGGGCCAGGCTCTGCGGCAACGCTACGATGGCTTTCTCAACACCTCTTACCACCGGCAAGAGGTAAGGCTGGGAGCTCCAAGAGGCAAGGGGAATGGAATGTACTGTCCTCACCCTCCATCCTTAGGGAGCCTGGGGCACTCTGGCCTCCTGCCGTGTGTTTTTGGTAACAGCTACAGGACATGACATCTAAGAGCTGTGTAGAACAAAATCCTAGAGGCCGAGTTACCCCTCCTTGACTTGGAAGGGGCACAACTTGGAAGGATGATCAGGCATCCAAGCTCAGACTTTAGGGCCTGGCAAAGTCTTTTCTAATTCTGTGCAGTAACCTAGACTTTCCATCCAAAACACTTATTGAGTACCTACTAAGGGCAAAGTGTTGTGCTAGCACTGGCATGTAGTGGTGTATCACACAGATACAGTCTCTGTCTTCGTGGAGCTTAGAATGTAGTGGGGAAGACGGATGATAAACCACACAGGGCCTAGAGATGAAGGAAGGAGGAGCACATGTAGAGAAGGCATGTGTCAGGGAAGATTGGCAGTGTTCCTTCTCCTTGAAGCCCTCTTCCTAGCTCATGGATGGAGGTGAATGTTCCTTTGGTCACCACTGTCAGCCACGGGCTCTGTGGCTCTCGATATTATTGTTCCCTTGAGAGCCAGCTCTGTCCTGGTCTTGCCCTTCCCCACTGCTTCCTCCTCCCTTGGCACAAGCAATTATCTCTGTTCCTTATTTCCTCTCCCTGATCTCTAAGCCACTTTATTAAGGGGTATGTGTGGGAGCTGTTGGAGACAGCTTCTGGCTTCAAGAACCCTGGTCTAGATAGGGAGACAGGCGTTGCTATAAAAGCAGACAGATAGACCTGACAACCTTACTGACAGCCTTACACTTTGGACTGGGAGGGCATTTGAACTAGAGCCACTACAACAGGAGTTCTTTACAGAGTGGTGACAGCTAGCCGCTACCGGAGTGTTTGGCCCTTTGCCGGGAAGAGGGACAAGGAATATCAGAGATGGGGAGTGGGGGCCATAATATGCTGGGTGACCATCAAGAACAGGTTCAGGTTCTCCCCCTGGGGCCCCACTGAGGGGCCAAAGCTGCCCCACCCCACCCCTACAGGTAAGACTCATGTCATCATCTCTGCAGGTTTATGTGCGAAGCACAGACTTTGACCGCACTCTCATGAGTGCCGAGGCCAACCTGGCTGGACTCTTCCCTCCCAACGAGATGCAGCGCTTCAACCCAAGTATCCCTTGGCAGCCTATCCCTGTCCACACTGTGCCCATCACTGAGGATAGGGTAAGACTGGCCAGCTTCCCTGGAGGTGGTGAGAGGAAGAACTCTGGCCATGGGCCAGCTGATCCTCACCTCCTTCTCGGCCTGTTTTCTCCACTTTGTTCTGCAGCTGCTGAAGTTCCCGTTGGGCCCATGTCCCCGTTATGAGCAGCTGCAGAACGAGACCCAACAGACGCCAGAGTACCAGAATGAGATTATTCAGAATGCAGTGAGTGGGGCTGAGGTGGAGGTCCTCGCACTGTCCTTTTCCCCAGGCCAGGACTCATCCCCTGACCGTTTTTTCATAGCAATTTCTGGATATGGTGGCCAACGAGACAGGGCTTACAGACCTGACACTGGAGACCGTCTGGAATGTCTACGACACACTCTTCTGTGAGGTGAGCCCACTTAGGGTCCCGGTATGACCTCTCATCCCTCGCACCTCAGCAGGCTCAGGTGACCAGGACAGGTGGGACAACATGCCCGGATACCATTCCCACTGGGGAAGCCCAGGCAAGCTGCTGCTTGTGAAACAAGGGAACTTCCCTCACGGGTGAAAAAGAACATCAGAGTGGGAAATGGTTTATTTTCCGTCAGCAGTTCTTGACCCTCTCCACCCAGAACTCTCGTGGTATCCGAGATTCTGCTGAGTCACGCTTTTCGTGCCTGAGCTTCCTTTCCTGTGTCCTGCCGCCATGTCTCCTGGTTCCAGTCCCTCAGCCTCACCTCTCCTCTCCTTTCCCTCCCTTCCCTCCCTCCCTCCCTCCCTCACACACACACAGGCACCTTCCCGCTGGGGAAGAGAGCTGTCCCCGGAGAGGCTCTGGCCTAGGCCTGGGGAGCTAACCTGCCTGCTGCGATACACAGCAAACACACGGGCTGGTCCTGCCGCCCTGGGCCTCTCCCCAGACCATGCAGCGTCTGAGCCGGCTAAAGGACTTCAGCTTCCGCTTCCTCTTCGGGATCTACGAGCAGGCAGAGAAGGCCCGGCTTCAGGGGGGTGAGTGACCAGAGCAGCATGTCACTCCCCTTCTCAGGACCCTACAGCATTAACAACCTGCTCTGGAGGGCTTCTCACACACTTGCCTCGCCCCCCATAGTCCTATCTGCCCATTCAAAACCAGACCTCCCATTAGTCACCGAAGCCTTCCCCAGTTCCTTTGTCACTGTATGATTGACCACAGTCAGGTCTGTGTGCTTCTTTCCTGCCACTCATCTTCTTAAGTGTCACTCCTGTCAGGAGACTCTCTGTGCTCTTAAATGAATACCTACCTTTGGAGACCCACCAGGGAACACTTTGCAAGAAGGCTGAGAATAATACATATGCCAGTTTCCTGGTCTGAGCACCCAAGGGAGGGTGTCAAACCTTCCTGACGTCTCTGTAGTTTTCAGAGCCTGCATGTGGCAAAGCTCCTGTATTTGCCACCATCCTCTGGGTTCTGAAGCAATCTTAAGTTTACATCTCTTCCAAACTGGAGTAACTCTTCAGACATGGGCAGGGCCTCATAGCTCACTTATAAACGGGCAGGTCCCTCTATCTGTGTGGAAATGTACATACCTTGTTTTATCTTGCTTCTGTCTGTAAATTTGAAAGTTCTTAGAGAACAGGGGTGCCGGACAGTTTCCTGCGTGGTTCCCACGCACCTAGAGAGTTCCCTGTGCAGGAGATCAGACCCAGGACCAGCAGAGGGCGAAGGGGCTCAGATAGGTCTGATCAGAAGACGGGGGGTAGCTGGGGTCACTGACAAGAGGATCTCTTCTCCCGCAGGAGTCCTGCTGGCTCAGATACGGAAGAACCTGACCCTCATGGCAGCCTCCTCCCAGCTCCCTAAGCTGCTGGTTTACTCTGCGGTAAGCTTCCACAGTCCCCAGCGTGCGAACATCAGCCAAGGAGCTGGCTCTTTCCTCTGTCCGGTGGCTGGGCGGAGGGTGGGGGAGTTGGTGAATAGTGCTGACAGGGAGCACTCTCTTACAGCACGACACCACCCTGGTCGCCCTGCAAATGGCACTGGATGTCTACAATGGGGAACAAGCCCCCTATGCCTCCTGCCACATCTTTGAGCTGTACCAGGAAGATAATGGGTGAGTGGAGCTACCAGTCTGCCCTCCGGAGGGGCAACTGCGTGGAGGCGGTGGGCAGCCCAAGCACTTGGTTAAAAGGCCCGCTGAGCAGCTTCCGTCGCCTCGCCTATCAACCCTCAGGAATTTCTCGGTGGAGATGTACTTTCGGAATGAGAGCAACAAGGCTCCCTGGCCACTGATCCTGCCTGGCTGCCCTCACCGCTGCCCACTGCAGGATTTCCTTCACCTCACAGAGCCCGTCGTGCCCAAGGATTGGCAGCAAGAATGCCAGCTGGTGAGCGGGCCTGCAGACACAGGTGAGCGGCTTCCTGGCTCTGCTAGTGATGTCCCAGAACAACCTTTTCCCGCCCGCCGGTCTCCCGAGAGCTGCTGCCCTTCCAGCCATCTCCCTGGATTTCCCGAGACCCACCCTGACACTGTTGCTCACCTTCTCTCCACTCCTCACTCTTCTCAGATCACTGAGAAAATAACAGTAGCCCTGAGAGCCTGGGCTCGTCCTGCAAGCAGCAGATCTTCCAGCTTACTTGCTGGTCTAAGCTGCTACCTGAGGCCAGCCTCTCCACTTGCACCACTCCCAGGTCCGTCTCTTCTCACCTCCCCAGAGACTTCTGGAGCCTCAGTGTTTCCTCTCTACTGGGTCAGTCCCATCTTGAGAGCCTAACCACAAGACCTCTCAGGGCCCCATCTTCCTCAGGCCACCACTGTGTCTCTCTGTTCCCTGTGAAAGTGGAATCCTTCTAGTTCGCTTTTTCAGTGCCTGTTCTGTCAGACTCCCGAGAGATAGGCTTGTGTCACCTTCCACACCAGTGAAGCCACTTTTGTAAAGGACCTCGTCTTACCAAAGCCAGTGGCCAATCCTTAGCTTCTCTCATCTCTCAGGGGCATGATGTAATTGGTCAGTCCTTCCTCAGACACTTTCTTGGCTTCTCTGCTTTTTCTTTTGACTTACAGGTAGCTTCCTTACTGGCTTTTCTCCTGACTAACCAATGGATGGCCCAGGACTCATCCTGGCCCTTCCCCATGTGTACACACTCCAGGGCAATCCCATCCAACCTCATGGCTTTTTTATTTTTTTAATGTTTTTATTTATTTCTGAGAGAGAGAGAGAGAGAGAAAAAGACAGTGTGAGCAGGGGAGGGTCAGAGAGAGAGGGAGACACAGAATCTGAAGCAGGCTCCAGGATCTGAGCAAGCTGTCAGCACAGAGCCCGATGCGGGGCTCGAACCCACGAACCGTGAGATCATGACCTGAGCTGAAGTGGGACGCTTAACCGACTGAGCCACCCAGGCGCCCCCAACCTCATGGTTTTATATAGCAACTCCATGCAAAGTTCTAGCCTTTTATGGCTCAGATTCATGACCTTTTCTCTGAGCTATAGATTCACATATCTGACTGCTGATTGGCGGTCTCTCCGTGGAGGTCAGCTAGAACATCTCAAAGCTGATATGTCTGAAACCAAACACTCTTACCCCTAAATTCACTCTTCCTCCAGTCTTGCCCATCTTAGCAAATGCCGCATTAGTCACCGAGTTGCGCAGTGAGTGTAACCCTAGGAGTCATCTTGAATACCCTCTTTCTCAGACCCCATATCCAGTGCACTAGCGGATCCTATCAGCTCAACCTTTAAAATACATTCTCTTGCCTCCCTGGTCCAATCCACTATCATCTCTTGCCTGGACTAATGAAAAGCTTCCCACTGTTCTGATTCTCTTCTTGTCTTTATTAGTGTCTCAGCACCAGAGTTAACTTTTTAAATACATATTTTATTTATTTATTTTGAAAAAGAGAGCAGGGGAGGAGCAGAGAGAGAGAAGGAGAGAGAGAATCCCAAGCAGGCTCCTCGCTGTCAGTGCAGAGCCTGACTCAGGGCTCAAGCCCACAAACCGTGAGATCACAATCTGAGCTGAAACGAGGGGTCAGACTCTTAATAGACTGAGCCACCAAGGTGTCCCAAGTTAATTTTTAAAAAAAAATAAATCAGTTGACATCACTACCCTTCTCAGAATCTGCCAGTGGGTTCTTATGACATTTGGAACAAAATCCAAGTTCTTTCTTATGGTCTTCTAAGCCCTTCTTGGTCTGATCCTCAGTGCTGATCTCCTCCTTGCCCCTCTCTCTGCTATAGTGATATTAACTTTCCAGCTGATCCTAGAATTTGCCAAGCTTACTTCCACATCAGGGCCTTTTGTATTTACTTCTTGTCTACTCACCCCCGCTGCTCCTGCCCCTACCTTCCCGTATCTGAGTGTCTCAGGGCCTCCATGTCTCTGGTCAAATTGTCATTTCCTCAGTGATCCGTTCCCTGACTGACCTACCTTTCCATCTTTTTCCTCTTAGTTTGGTTTGTTTTTCTTTATACCATTTGTCACTGACCTGGGTACATCCCCATTGTAAGAAGAGCACCTGGTATATGGTAGACAATCAAATATTTGTTGGATGAACACTGACATGACCTTTCCCCCTTCTCCCCAACCCATGCTCAGAGGTGATCGTGGCCTTGGCTGTATGCGGCTCCATCCTCTTCCTTCTCATAGTGCTGCTCCTCACCGTCCTCTTCCGGATGCAGGCCCGGCCTCCTGGCTACCGCCATGTTGCAGACGGGGAGGATCATGCCTGACAACCACTCAGCCCCCTTCCCTCTGCCTCCTAGGGGAGGTGGGCTGGGCCCTTGCTCCTGACTGTTGCTGCTCCCCAGCCCATGGACAGGAGACCCTGGGTTGGCCTCCCTCTGATTACTTCAACCTAGATGAACAAATAGGGCTTGGCTTGGCCCATGGCACCTGTCACTCAGCATTCATGTGCCTCCTGTTTACCAAGTACTATGTCGGACTTTGGCTTTCTCCAAACAAGAGAACTCCATCATGCTTCCGAAGGACTAGAAGTGTAGACAAGTATTCAAGTTTCACTCAGGACCTGGGATTGAAAACCTGAAGGAGTTGGTGCTTGATCTGCCTTGCCCCTGCCAATCAAGTCTTGCTTTCTCTTCCAGCATGGAGTCTTTGGCAAATGGTTCAGAGGACACAGTCTTGCCTCTTAGTGGGAAAAACTGCACAACATTGGGGGCACAAACACTGGTCACTAAGGAGCAGGAGCCAGATCACCCAAAGGCCAGTCAGCCAACTTTTCCTTTGTCCCCCTGAAGCCACCATTAGAGTCAGACATAATGCTTCAGGTATCTTGGTCACCCTGTGGTTGGAGCAGGTCAGAAGGGTGTTGGTACTGGGGTTTGGGGGCGGGGGGAGGGGGGTGCGTTGTACAGTTGTGACACTACTATCCCAGTCAGCTAGGCTGGGGTCTCCAGGGACCAGAGGTAACTGTAGGTTGTAAGCTGGACAGCTGTGTCTGTGGTCTGTGGCCCAGAATAGGGCTAAGGTGGCTTACAGAGAATGAAAGTTTTAGACTCTTAGTGCTGTTTCTATGCCTTTTCTTTGTTTTGGGGGACCCAAGGAGCCCTTTGACCAGGTCAGTGCTGGAAGATCCACTCAGAAGCTCAATTGGGTATGGTTTTATTGGCCATGTCAATAGTGAGCACATACTGAAAACCACTACCTGATCACTCTGCCACTGCACGTCAAAGAAAAGTACCTTGGCTCCAGGCCAGATAATAGCAAGGATCCTTGGGGCACCTGAGGCCCCAACTCTGGAGAAGTTTCTGGAGCTAAGTCCAGAGCAGTAACATGCCAGTGTCCCAGTCCCACAGTGTCCCATGTCACAGTGTCCCTGCTCCAACCCTAAGACTTGGATACCTTTGGCCCTTTAACACATAGCCGCCTCTTCTCACAGGATTTGTTCTCAGGTGACTCCAAGCCCTTGCTTGGCCCACACCTTCATTAATGTGTCTCATTTCCGCATCCCAGCTTCCTGGCTCCAAATGAGAATGTGATAACCTAGGAGGAGTGAGACCAGTCTGACTTGCACCTTCCGTTATCAGTCTCTGAGGACTTGGGGTTGGCCCAGGGAGCCTAGGACTTGGGAAGGAAATACCAGGAAACTGGACAGCAGCCAAGCATTGCCATGACCAAGAGAAAGCAAGAGGCATGGAGGGCCCAGGCCAAAGAGTCCATGGTGTCCTGGTAGTCTACTGACTCCTGCCCTGGGGTGACTGGCAGAGTTAAGCTGAGGACAGCCTGCACTCAACCTTGGGGAGTAGGGCAGGGCTTGGCCAGTCTGAGACACAGCCTACTTCACTCACCCATCACAGAGGCCAGCGTGTCCCCCATGGGATTGAACTCATTGAGCTGCAGAGACAAGGGCATAAACATGAGGAGGGGTTGAGGTAGTGGAAGAAAGGCACATGAGGACAAATTTCTCATCATTTTTGGTCAATAAAATAGGTTGACTCCCTGCTTCCTCCCATCCTTATTTGAGGGCCCAAACCTCACCGAAATGATACCAGAAGATTCTGGGTCATAGAGCTGATACATCATCTTCCCTGAGCTTCCGTCAAATACATCAATCGTCCTTAATTCATGGGGGGTACAACTTTTGAAATTAGGATCTGGGTATCGGCCCACGACAATGAGGTTGTACCGAGGATGCCAGGTTGCCTAGGAGACGGAGAGTTGTCACGAGAGTAAATGCAGAGCGCTATCAAGAGGGACATCAAAAGTATTTTTTTTTTTTTTTTTTTTTTTTTGCCACTAACAGTTGTAAATACAGTTGCCAGCAGTTTAATAATGGAGATAAGACCCATGTGAAACTATTACATGTGCATCTATCGTCTCAAACTGGCCTCTCTGGACCTTGGGACACTTTCAGGCCTTCTTTCTCTTTTGCATTTCCTGAGATCATACCAACTGATCAATGTTTTAACATCAGCTTGACCCAGACATTAACCAAAGAGGTAAGCCTACAACAAAGCAAAAAGTCTTGTAACCAAAACCCAAATAGCACGTAAGTTCTGAAGTTATCTCACTACTGTGCCTCCTCCATCAACGTGAACGACAAAGAGTTGAGCAGGAGATGGCTAGTGGCTAGTTCCTTTCCAAGGGAAGGAAACCTATGTTCCCCGGGCTACCCCACTCAAAACAGGTCTGGAAGTTAGTTGGAATGACAGAATCAGATGGGGGTTTTCCTGAGATCTCAAATTTGGAAGGAGGAAAGACCTAGTTAGCGGGAAGGACAAAGTGGTACATGCCATGGCTTGGATAGAAGTCACAAGTCCACCTGGGAAGCTAGAAATTGGCCTGGCTGGTTACAAAGTGGGAGATGACACATGGATCAATGGGAACCAGCCAGTGAAGAACGCTTGTTCTTAAGAGCTTGGGTTGGATTTGAGGTACGCAGGAGCCTCCCTGGTATCCCTAATATCAGCACTGTTTACGTAGTACTTACCAGGCACTGGGGAATGTGCTTTAGGTACACTGATTCTTCCAACAACCCTATCAGTCAGATACTATTATTCCCTTTTCAGAGATGAGGAAACCGAGATCCAAAATCCAGGCAGCTTGCCCAGGGATTCTAACCGGAGGTTGTCGGCCTGCCTGAAGCTGGTGCCCCCAACACTATTCTGTCTTGACGAAAGAAGTACAGGCATGAAACCTGGAGGTCTGAAGAAGGGCTGTGGTTCTAAAAAAGAACATAAAGCAGGAGAGCAGAGGAATGGGCAGAAAGGACTCAGAAGACTTAAAGACCATAAGCCTTGGGGGTTGAGACAGAAGTCATTAGTGAGGCTGAGGTCAGCAGGTAACTGCTGGCAGTTTGAGGGCAGCACAGCAGGGAGATAGGGTGAACTGAAAGAAAACAACAGGAAAAGAGCTTATGGGAGACAGAACCCAGCAAAGTGGGACTGTAAAAGGGGGACAGAAGGAGCAGAGAGAGAGCAAGAGAGAGCGCGCGCCAGGGGAGAACAGACTGTGGGTGCAGGATGAGATCTGGGATTAGGGATTCCAGATCTGGCCTTTCCCTACCTCGGGCAGACCCAGTCTGCCCCCTGTCACAGCTCCCTGTCTTCATCACTTACCTTGATCGGCGTCAGGTGCTGGAAGTGGCGGTGAGGGTGTGGGATCAGGCTCGGGGGGCAGTCCCACTGGGAGGCCGAGTAAACCCGGAGCTCACTCTTCTGGTCAGTGGTCAGGAGCTGGGCCCCGTCAGGACTGAAACAAGCTGGCGAGTGAAAAGCCCCAGAACTGAAGGACCCACAGGGCGCCTGTCCTGGCTGGTACAGCCCTTCTCCTGGAGGGTGCCCTCTCCCCCACTCCTCTCTAGACCCCGGTGGAAGGGAGGAGGTGAATCTGGACTGTGAAAAAAATCATTCTAGAAACTTAGCAGCTGTTGGGGACCGCTAGTTTCAGAAAGTTTCCAAGATTATCAACTTGGTTGATGCTATCAGGGTAGAGGTTTGGCCTAGCAGCTTCTAAATGTTGAGGGAAGACCCCAGAGACGGTTGGGTAGGCCCGGTGTGCAGGAAGGATGAGGTCTGGTATATCACACCTGCGTTGACAGGATGGCTATGCAGCAGCGTGTGGAGGCAGCTGGACTTCCCTTTAACCTGGCGCAGGTCCCAGATTTTCACTGTTTGGTCTACAGAGGCTGTGGCCAGGAGCCAATCACAGCATGGGTTCAGGGCCACATGGGTCACTTTCTTTTTGTGCATTCTCAGATTCCAAAGCTGCAGAGAAGGGCTTGGTTCAGGTGGGGTGCGGGGAGGCTGGGGGGTAAGGGAAAGAAAGGGAAGACCGGGGCTCCAAAGAACGCACCTCCCTGCCGTCCATGTTCAGCAGAATCACGTGTCCCACATTGTCGCCTGTGACCACCATTCGGCTTCTGGCAGACACATCCAGGCTGCAAAACCAGATGCTGGAGGGAGAGACTGTGCTGTAAGATTCTTGGGGACAAAGGCAAGGGCCATTTATTAATCCGTTAGTGCAACGTCTAACGGATAGTAGACGTCCAGCCAGTATTTATTGAATAAATGAGTGACTGTCTTGCCACAGACTCCCAGCAAGGACCACTCCGACTTGTCTACCATTAGACAGAGGGTATGGGGGTGATGGGGCTCAGAAACCTGTCCAGTTACTGCCGGGGCCAGGATCCTCAGCTGGTAGGAGTCTCTAAGCAGCCATCCCTCAGAACATTAGGCAAGTCCTCAGGCCAACCTGCCCCCTTATAGCCCTGGGTTCTGAGGAAGATATGTTTATCGCTTCCTCTCTTCACTCTCTACCCTTTGGGCCAAAGGAGACGACAAACCAAACAGGGACTGCCAGGCTCCTTTTCTTTCAGGAAAGAACTTCTGCCCCCTTCTGAGCATTTAGGGGAAAAAGCATACACAATTTTAGGAGCTCTGTCTTGCTCTTTTGCCCTTCAGACTACTTGAGGACAAAGGATTGGGACTGCTTCAGGGATCCTAATGCCCAGCCAGGAGACGTCAGATTCCCATTTTCCCCTCAAACACTCAAATCCTTGCTACAGTGAATTTTGAATCCCTACAAATCTCTTTCAGAGGGAAGGTTTCTTGTGGAAGAATAACATGGAGCTGAGTCTATCCCAGGACCTGCCCTGATTGCTTCGTATTTCTTACCTCTGTGGGGCAGTCCAGGATAATGTCCAGTGCTAGTTAGACCCCCACACCCTTGATTCCTTAGAGAACAGTCACAGTCGTGACTCTGGCTAGAAATCAGACTGACGAGTATTTTGTAATTTCTCCAGCTACTTGCTCTTGGGGAGTCCAAAGTGCTTTACGGACAAGATTCTATCCCTTTAAGCTTCTGTCAAGGAAGTGGTTGGGTCATTACAACTCTGGGATGTAGAGAATGAAATGGCTTTCTAGGCCAATGCCATGTTAACTATTAAGAATCAAGGTCTAGTCTAACATAGGAATGCCTTACAGGAAAGCCAAAGCCCTTCCCTCACTGAGAAGAGCTGAGGTTCTAGAACACCTCATCAAAGCAGTAACCCACGTGGAACAGAGAAGGAGCAGCTACAGAAAGTCTCAGAAAGAGAGGGAGGGGTGGAAAGTGGCTGCCACCTTGCCAGTCTTCCCCATGCCAGGACTGGGTAACACAAACGAGATCCGGATGCTCTCACCAGAACTATGCTGAGAGCCTTAGAAGCCCTTTCCCTCCTAGTGAAGCCACTCACTTGCAGGTGTCTGAGCTGGTAAACACTCGGAGCGTGTTGCCTTTAAAGTCTTGAAGCCTAGTTGTTCCCTCCATTGAGGAGGTGAAAAACTGGTTGGTATCAAGAGGGTTAAACTTCAGCCCAGTGACGCTCCCTCCAGCTCCGATCTAACACAAGGAAGAGAAAAGCCAGTGAGCGAAGATGGCCCAGGAGGAGGACGAGGCCCGGGTGCACGGAGTCTGCTGACCAGCCAGCCAGTCAGGCAACACGTGCGGCCAGGCCAGCCGAGAGGCCTGGACGCAGGCATGCGCTCTGTGGGACTCTTCGTTACTTAAGGTTTTAGTTTTAATTGAATTTAAAAAATTGGGGCGCCTGGGTGGCTTAGTTGGTTAAGCGTCCGACTTTCGCTTAGGTCATGATCTCGCGGTTCGTGGGTTCGAGCCCCGTGTCGGGCTCTGTGCTGACTGCCAGCTCAGAGCCTGGAGCCTGTTTCGGAGTCTGTGACTCCCTCTCTCTCTGACCCTCCCCTGCTCACGCTGTCCCTCTCTCTATCTCCTAGAAATAAATAAAAACATTAAAAAAAAATTAACACACAGTACACTTGGTTGTTTTTAGTACACATTTCTATGAATGTGAAAACACAAGAGTATAGATGTGAATAACCACCACCCCAATCAGGAGGTGGAACAGTACCATCCCCTCAAAAAACTCCCTTGTGTTCTCCCCTCGTGGTCACACCCCTTCTCCACCTGTCACCCCTCGGCTACTGTGGATCTGTTCTCCATCACTATGCTGTGGTTTTGCCTTTAATAGACTGTCGTATAAATGAATCATACAGTATGCATCCTTCTGAGACTGGCTTCTTTCATCTCACCCACCATAATACCCCTGAGATGTACCCAAGTTACAGTGTGTACCCAGAGCTCATTCCATTTTACTGCCAAGCATTCCATTATGTGAATGTGTCATAGTTTGTTTATTGCCCAGTGCTCTTTAGAAGAGCATCAGCTCAGAACAGTGCCTGGGTTAGGAGTGCAGAGTCAGATCTGAGCTCCTTCCTATTTTTCCAGATATCCCAGACAACGATGAAGAAAATGACCATGATAACATCAAAAAACACAACCTTATTAAGTGCTTCTTATGTATCAGGCAGTTTTGAGAACTTTACATCTTCAAGAGCTCCTCTCTACTTCTTAAGCCACCGCTATCCCAGCCTCACAGATCCCTACAAGGCCTCTTACACAACATCCACTTGGCTCACTCAGCATGCTAACTGGCATATCCCATCTCCTCTATAAAGGTGCCAATGGTCTGCCAAACCCTTGCTTCAGTGATAGTTTTCCGTTCCCAACAGTTGAGTCCTGTGCTCACCAAGGCTTCACTGTGTTTGTTCTTCTTCTTTTTTTTTTTTTTTAAATATTTATTTATTTTGAGAGAGAGAGAACAATGCATGCAGGGGAGAGACAGAGAGGGAGGAAAAGAGAGAATCCCAACCAGGCTCCACACTCGCTGCCAGCGCAGAGCCCGACGCGGGGCTCAATCTCTCGAACCGTGAGATCATGACCTAAGCTGAAATCAAGAGTCAGATGCTTAGCCGAAGGAGCCACCCAGATGCCCCCAAAATATATGTCTTTAAAAAAGTTTCTGAAGTCAATGGAGAGCTATCAAGGCATCAGGGACTTGAAGACCAACATCCCAGAGAAAGGAGAAGCAGAAAGGTAGACCTGACATATGGATGCTGCTTTTCCCCTTGAAGTCTATGCAGATTAGAAGGCTATGGTTTTGAAGCAGAGAAACCAAAGTGCAGAGAAGCTGATATGAAAGTGGCAGGTGGCTTCAAGGCTGAGAAGCTGGGCTGTGGTTTTGCCAGTCTCACACGGCATGAGAGGCAGAACTGGGGTTCACATTTGCCAAGGAGGAGAAGTCTTGGAAAAAAAAAATCCAGGTTTTAGTTAGGATCCCTGACACACTTAAAATAAGAGCAAACTAGAAACAGGGACCCGCACAAAACCTGAAGTCTGATTCAAATAATTTCAAACTCATTGGATTAAGATGATCTGATTCCACCCTACCTGCCTGTCAGAGGGGAAAGAAAATTAATTGTCTCTGGAAGAAAACACTACCCAAAACTAGAAAGTATCTCTACAAGTTTTCATATGCAATATTTGGCATTAAATCTAAAATCATCCAGCATATCAGACGATAAGGCCAAATACACAAAAACTGAGAGGAAAGAACAACATTTAAGAGACCAGGAGATACAGATATTGGAGCTGTTACATACAGGATTTAAATAATTGTGATTGGACACCTGGGGGGGTCAGTCGGTGGAACATCCGACTCTTGATCTCGGGGTCATGAGTTCAAGCCTGACATTGGGTATGGACGCTATTTAAATACATAGGTACATACATATATACATACATAAAATAATTGTGATTAAAATACATTTTAAAAACAGACCTAATTTTAAAATGGACAAAGGATTTGAACAGACATTTTTCCAAAGACATGCAAATGGCCATGAGCACATGAAAAGATGCTCAACATCATTAGTCATCATGAGATACTATTTCACACCCACTAGGATGGCTATAATAAAATTGATAGACAATTAAGGCACCTGGGTGGCTCAGCTGGTTAAGCATCCGACTCATGATTTCAGCTCAGGTCATGATCTCACAGTTTGTGAGATCAAGCTCCACATCAGGCTTTGCGCTAACAATGCGGAGCCTGCTTGGGATTCTCTTTCTCCCTTTCTCTCTGCCCCTCCAGTGCTCATGCTCTCTCTCTCAAAGTAAATAAACATTTAAAAAAATGATAGACAATTACAGGTGGTGAAAAGACAGCCCATGAAATGAGAGAAAATATTTGCACACTATACCTGATAGGAAGTTAATATAAAAAAATATATAAAGAACTTGGGGCGCCTGGGTGGCTTAGTCGGTTAAGCGTCCGACTTTCACTTAGGTCATGACCTCGCGGGTTCGTGGGTTCGAGCCCCGCGTCGGGCTCTGTGCTGACTGCCAGCTCAGAGCCTGGAGCCTGTTTCTGTCTGTGACTCCCTCTCTCTCTGACCCTCCCCTGCTCACGCTGTCTCTCTCTCTCTCCTAGAAATAAATTAAAAAAAAAAAACATTTAAAAAAAATATAAAGAACTCTATAGCAAAAAACCAAAAACCTCCCCAAAAAACCTAGTTTAAAAAAGAGCAAAGGATGTAAATAGACATTTCTCCAAAGAAGACATACAATGGCTAACAGGTATATGCAAAGGTGCTCAACATCACTAATCTTGACATAAGGGAAATGCAAATCAAAACTACAAAGAACTATCACCTTACGGTTGTTAGAATGGCTATTATCAGGGGTGCCTGGGTGGCTCAGCTGGTTAAGCCCCGACTTCATCTCAGGTCATGATCTCATGGCTTGTGAGTTCGAGCCCTGCATCGGGCTCTGTGCTGACAGCTCAGAGCCTGGAGCCTGCTTCAGATTCTGGATCTCCTTCCCTCTCTGCCCCTCCCCAACTCACTCTCTCTCTCTCTCAAATAAATAAATAAATAAATAAACACTTAAAAAAAAAAGAATGCTACATCGAAACAACAAAAGATAACAGGTACCAGCAAGGGTGTGGAGAAAAAGGTACTCTTGTACACTGTTGATGGGAATGTAAATTGGTAGAGGCACTGCAGAAAACAGTATGGGGGTTCCTCAGAAAATTTAGAACTACCATATGATTCAGTAATCCCACTTCTGGGTAGATATCCACAGGAAATGAAATAAGCTTCTCAAAGTGTTATCTTCCTTCCTGTGTTCACTGCAGCACTATTCATAGTAGCCAAGATAGGAAAACAACTTCAATGTTTGTAGACAGATGAAGAGATACAGAAAATGTGGTATGTATATATAATGGAATATTATTGAGCCTTTAAAAAGAAGGAAATCCTGCCTTTGTGACAACCAGGATGAACCAGAGGATGCCATGCTAAGTGAAATAAGTTAGACACAGAAAGACAAATACTGAATGATCTTACTTACATGTGAACCTGAAAGAGGTGGAACTCCAAAAAGCTGAGAGCAGAATGGTGGTTGCCTAGGAACTTGGGGGTGGAGGAGATGTTGATCAAAGGTACAAAGTGTCAATTATGCAGGATGAGTAAGTTCTGGAGATCTAATGGACAGCATGGCAACTAAAGTTAGTAACAGTGTATTATATATTTGAAATTTACTAAGAGAGTTGATCTTAAATGTTCTCAGCTCACAGCATGAACACAAGGTAATACGTGAGGTGATGAATTAGCTTGACCATGGTAATCATTTGCAAGTTCACACCTGTTAACACTTCACACTGTACACCTTAAATATGTACAACTTTTATTTGTCATTTGTACCTCAATAAAGCTGGAAAAAAAACCAAGTGTTGTTAAGAATGTGGAGAAGTTGAAGCCCTCCTACACTGTTGGTGGGAATGTGAAATGGAGAAGTCGCTCTGGAAAAGTGTTTGGCAGTTCCTCAAAAACTTAAACATAAAGTTACTATATGTCCCAGCAATTCCACTCCTAGGCATATACCCAAGAGAAATGAATAAGCATCTTCACATGAAAACTTGTACACAAATATTCATAGAAGCATTATCCATAAAAAAAGGTGGCTAAAAATCAATGACTTAAACATCCATCTCAAGAAGGTCAAAGTAACAGGAAAATAAAGTAGGAAACTGAATAGAAATTAATAAAACAGAACTATACTATGGGAGAATTAAAAAACAAAAGTTGGTTCAATGAAAAGACTATTAAAATTGATAAATCCATGGTGAGACTGACCAAACGGAAGTCACAAATAACCAATGTAATAGATCAAAAAAGGGACATCAGTATAAATCTTAGACATTTTAAACAATAATAAGAGGACATAATAAACAATCTAATGGCAATCAATTTGAAAACTTAGATGAAATGGAGAAACTCCTAGAATTTGCTAAACTGACAGAAATTGAAAGAGAAAATCAGAATAGACTGATTGAAGACATTGTATTCACAACTAAAATCTTTCTTGCAAAGTAAATTCCAGATCCTGGTAGCTTCACTGTTGAATATACTAAGCATTGAAGGAAGAAATAATATCAGGTTTTTTTTTTTAACTTTGTTTTCCAACTATCTCAAACTCTTAGA